GGTTTCCTGTTATATATAAAATGGGATACTTGATCTAGTTATGATCATAGCCAGTGATAAACAAGTTTATTGGATGCAATTTGTACACCTCTACATATTAATTATTCATTGTCAGTCTTGTAGACAAATATTAAAGTGCAGTTCTGGGTTTAACTATTTGGTGACATTGCATTTTTCAGAATTTCAAGTCCTTGTTTGGACTTGATGGAGCATCTCATCATGCATCTATATATACAAAAGAAATATAATCCAGTACATTTTGGTGTGCTGAGGGAGAGAGCATAACTCAATATTGTAGTTATTGGTGCTGTATAAACAATAGATGAGGTTTAGATAATAGTAAATTTAGAAAGGGAGGCAGGCAAGCAGTGAGGTTGGTTGGAAGGCATGAGATGCGCTGTCCTAAGGTTGGGGGTTCCACGACCACCACTCCCAAGAGAAGGAGGCGGGTGGTGGTGGTCAGGGACTCTCTCCTCAAGGGGACTGAGTCATCTATCTGCCACCCTGACCAGGAAAACAGAGAAGTCTGCTACTTGCCAGGAGCTAAGATTCGCAATGTGACGGCGAGACTGCAGAGACTCATCAAGCTCTCGGATCGCTACCCCTTCCTGCTTCTCCACGTGGGCACCAATGATACTGCCAAGAATGACCTTGAGCGGATCACTGCGGACTACGTGGCTCTGGGAAGAAGGACAAAGGAGTTTGAGGCGCAAGTGGTGTTCTCGTCCATCCTCCCCGTGGAAGGAAAAGGCCGGGGTAGGGACCGTCGAATCGTGGAAGTCAACGAATGGCTACGCAGGTGGTGTCAGAGAGAAGGCTTTGGATTCTTTGACCATGGGATGGTGTTCCATGAAGGAGGAGTGCTGGGCAGAGACGGGCTCCACCTAACGAAGAGAGGGAAGAGCATCTTTGCGAGCAGCCTGGCTAACCTAGTGAGGAGGGCTTTAAACTAGGTTCACCGGGGGAAGGAGACCAAAGCCCTGAGGTAAGTGGGCAAGCAGGATACCAGGAGGAAGCACAGGCAGGAGCGTCTGTGAGGGGAGGGCTCATACTGAGAATGAGGGGCGATCAGCAGGTTATCTCAAGTGCCTACATACAAATGCAAGAAGCCTGGGAAACAAGCAGGGAGAACTGGAGGTCCTGGTGAAGGCAAGGAATTATGATATGATTGGAATAACAGAGACTTGGTGGGATAACTCACATGACTGGAGTACTGTCATGGATGGTTATAAACTGTTCAGGAAGGACAGGCAGGGCAGAAAAGGTGGGGGAGTAGCACTGAATTGTAAGGGAGCAGCATGACTGCAGAAAAACCTGAGTGTCTCTGGATTAAGTTTAGAAGTGTGAGCAACAAGAGTGATGTAGTGGTGGGAGTCTGCTATAGACCACCGGACCAGGGGGATGAGGTGGATAAGCCTTTCTTCCGGCAACTTGCAGAAGCTACTAGATCGCACGCCCTGGTTCTCATGGGCGACTTCAATCACCCTGATACCTGCTGGGAGAGCACTACAGCGGTGCACAGACAATCCAGGAAGTTTTTGGAAAATGTAGGGGACAATTTCCTGGTGCAAGTGCTGGAGGAGCCAACTAGGGGGGGAGCTTTTCTTGACCTGCTGCTCACAAACTGTGAAGAATTAGTAAGGGAAGCAAAAGTGGATGGGAATCTGGGAGGCAGTGACCATGAGTTGGTCGAGTTCAGGATCCTGACACAGGGAAGAAAGGTAAGCAGCAGAATACGGACCCTGGACTTCAGGAAAGCAGACTTCGACTCCCTCAGGGAACTGATGGGTAGGATCCCCTGGGGGAATAACATGAGGGGGAAAGGAGTCCAGGAGAGCTGGCTGTATTTCAAAGAATCCTTATTGAGGTTACAGGGACAAACCATCCCGATGTGTCGAAAGAATAGTAAATATGGCAGGCGACCAGCTTGGCTTAACAGTGAAATCCTTGCGGATCTTAAACATAAAAAAGAAGCTTACAAGATGTGGAAGATTGGACAAATGACAGGGAAGAGTATAAAAATATTGCTCGGGCATGTAGGAATGAAATCAGGAGGGCCAAATCACACCTGGAGCTGCAGCTAGCAAGAGATGTTAAGAGTAACAAGAAGGGTTTCTTCAGGTATGTTGGCAACAAGAAGAAAGCCAAGGAAAGTGTGGGCCCCTTACTGAATGAGGGAGGCAACCTAGTGACAGAGGATGTACTCAATGCTTTTTTTGCCTCTGTCTTCACGAACAAGGTCAGCTCCCAGACTGCTGCGCTGGGCAACACAGCATAGGGAGTAGGTGGCCAGCCCTCTGTGGAGAAAGAAGTGGTTAGGGACTATTTAGAAAAGCTGGATGTGCACAAGTCCATGCGGCCGGATGCGTTGCATCCGAGAGTGCTAAAGGAGTTGGGGCTGTGATTGCAGAGCCATTGGCCATTATCTTTGAAAACTCATGGCGATCGGGGGAAGTCCCGGACGACTGGAAAAAGGCTAATGTAGTGCCCATCTTTAAAAAAGGGAAGAAGGAGGATCCTGGGAAATACAGGCCAGTCAGCCTCACCTCAGTCCCTGGAAAAATCATGGAGCAGGTCCTCAAGGAATCAATCCTGAAGCACTTACACGAGAGGAAAGTGATCAGGAACAGTCAGCATGGATTCACCAAGGGAAGGTCATGCCTGACTAATCTAATCGCCTTCTATGATGAGATTACTGGTTCTGTGGATGAAGGGAAAGCCATGGATGTATTGTTTCTTGACTTTAGCAAAACTTTTGACATGGTCTCCCACAGTATTCTTGTCAGCAAGTTAAAGAAGTATGGGCTGGATGAATGCACTATAAGGTGGGTAGAAAGTTGGCTAAATTGTCGGGCTCAAAGGGTAGTGATCAATGGCTCCATGTCTAGATGGCAACTGGTATCAAGTGGAGTGCCTCAAGGGTTGGTCCTGGGGCCGGTTTTGTTCAATATCTTTATAAATGATCTGGAGGATGGTGTGGATTGGACTCTCAGCAAGTTTGCAGAAGACACTAAACTGGGAGGAGAGGTAGATACGCTGGAGGGTAGGGATAGGATACAGTGGGACCTAGACAAATTAGAGGATTGGGCCAAAAGAAATCTGATGAGGTTCAACAAGGATAAGTGCAGGGTCCTGCACTTAGGACGGAAGAATCCCATGCACCGCTACAGACTAGGGACCGAATGGCTAGGCAGCAGTTCTGCGGAAAAGGACCTAGGGGCGACAGTGGACGAGAAGCTGAATAGGAGTCAACAGTGTGCTGTTGTTGCCAAGAAGGGCAATGGCATTTTGGGATGTATAAGTAGGGGCACAGCCAGCAGATTGAGGGACGTGATAGTTCCCCTCTATTCGACATCTGGAGTACTGTGTCCAGTTTTGGGCCCCACACTACAAGAAGGATGTGGAAATATTGGAAAATGTCCAGCGAAGGGCAACAAAAATGATGAGGGGTCTGGAACACATGACTTTTGAGGAGAGGCTGAGGGAACTGGGATTGTTTAGTCTGCAGAAGAGAAGAATGAGGGGGGATTTGATAGCTGCTTTCAACTACCTGAGAGGTGGTTCCAAAGAGGATGGTTCTAGACTATTGTCAGTGGTAGAAGAGGACAGGACAAGGAGTAATGGTCTCAAGTTGCAGTGGGGGAGGTTTAGGTTGGATATTAGGAAAAACTTTTTCACTAGGAGGGTGGTGAAACACTGGAATGCGTTACCTAGGGAGGTGGTAGAATCTCCTTCCTTAGAAGTTTTTAAGGTCAGGCTTGACAAAGCCCTGGCTGGGATGATTTAATTGGGGATTGATCCTGCTTTAAGCAGGGGGTTGGACTAGATGACCTCCTGAGGTCCCTTCCAACCCTGATATTCTATGATTCTATGAGGAAGGAAAGACAGACAAGCTTTATGAACTTCAACAAGTGAAGAAAATTATAAAAGGTAGAAATTGGATCCCAAGAACAAGCCTTCGGTTTTATGGTCCATTTTTGTCCCAACTGCTAGGAAAGTAACAAATAAGATATTGCCCTTCCAAGAGTTCCCAGTTAAACATTTACCAAAAATATGGAACAGCAATAGCATCTGTTGGCACCCCTTGATGAGTAGCATACAGTAAATGTCACTTCAGCTTCGTTTATGAAATGCTCTCTAGTCTCCATGAGCAGAGGCAGAACACAGTGCATCCAATTCTAATCTGTTTACCTGTTGTTTAAATAGTAAAAATCCCCTCTGAACTAAAATCTGGCAATGGGATCCAATGCTGGAAGAAATTTGACAGTTTTGAACAAAAGATTTAGATGCTTTTCTTTTTTAAAAAACATATAGACAGTGTCTACAATAAGGACAGATATGTTTTGATGACAAACATCACTGTTAATATGGGGTGAATATAATGCAGACACTAGCTAATTAGTTGGAAAAGATACCATGAGACTATTAGTTAAAAAAAAGATACCAAGACTGTCATCATTATGAATACAGACATGAGTTTAGAGCACTTTGTTTGAGGAAAGGAGTAGGTTTATGTCAGTCCGAGATCGCTGGCAGATGTGAGCTATATGCCCCAATCTCTGTCACTGCACTTCAAAAATATATATATATGGAGGTGAGTTGAAGTACAGCTCATTTTCACAGATCATGGGTAGCATCTGACAGGGACACTACAATCTTAACAAAAGACCAAAAATGACTCCATTTAAATTGGCTCACACAGCAGCATCCCATTTCCACAGAGCTTATTAGGGCACAAGGATACAATTACCAGATGACTTATTCTGCTGTTTCATTTTTTGAGATTATGTCCTGTGCCAGATTAAAACACCAGCTTGACAGTCTATATAACTCACTGGGGTATTAAGGTCTTTGGAATTATGGGCCATGCATTTAGGAAAAAATGGGAGTGCAGGATAGAAAAAACAACCTTAAGCTAGATGGTGAGATTCCAGGATTTTGTTGGCTATGGTGCAGCCCTAAGATTATTTTAACAACAGCGTAGGTTAATACAGCCATACCTGTCTCCTCCATGGGTCTGAATATCGACTGTGATTCAAAGCAAAGGTCTCTATCATCCATCGCCCAGGTCTCGCTGTGATCCAGAAACTCTTTGTAGGACATTTTTTCACCCGTGATCTCTCTTGGGGATACTGAAATGTGAAGAAAAAGCAGCGACACTTACCAGTAAGTCACTAGGCTGAATTACTTCAGTGTATATGGTTTATGTTATGCTGAGTGGCAGAACTTTTGCTAAGACTGACAGCACACATGATTTTCCAGTGAAATCAGACCCATCAGTGTGCCCAGTTCTACAATTTTAATGAGGTTTTTAAAGAGGAATGGAAGAAGGAATGGGATTTGAAGAAGCTTGATAAAATCAAGAATGGAGTATTTATAAACCACAAAGTGTTCAGATGCCTTTAAATGCTGAGAAATTACTGCCAGCAGCACACCCTACCCTTTAGGGTGTACTTTCACCAGAAAATTACATCCAGTCAGAAAATAACTTAGAGGAGCCAGGTTAACAAAGACATCCCTTATTTGTGATTCTTTTTTTTCCTGGGAAAGAGTAGTTCATAGGAGCCTGGCAATGCTGCTGACCTCCCAGGCACAGCTGCACACTCCTAAATATTTATCTAGCAAAACATAAAAGAAAGCGTTTGAGTGTCGTTTTCATGGTCACTTGTCCCTCCTGAGGGTGTGTGCGCATCTCCGGTTACTACTACTGTATAAACCGAACTGAAATGTTTAATCACTTCAGAAAGAAAAACAAAAGCAGCAGAGACCCATCAGTAAGAGCTGGGACAGAGGAAAGCACTGGGGCCTGAATGAACTCAAATTCTGAGTCAAATAGAGCCTACTGGGCTCCTGCAAGGTTTAACTTACACCAAAAGTTACAATTTCCATAGGCCCAAAGTCAGAATCCCAGTGTTGCCATCATGTGATTTTACTGCAAGTCTTTCAATATTTGGTTGTTTTGTGAAAGTCCAACCACCTGCAGTTATTTGAATGATCTGGTCCAGTCTGGCAATTCCATGTTCCTATGAGATCTCAGAAAACTCAGTGTTTCACAATTGTCCATAAAGACTCCCTCTATTCTGCTCCAACCCACAATTTACCTGAAACCTTCTAAACAGTCTGGGGTTTGCCAGGCATGTATGGGAATCAACAGAGCATGTGTAGGATGAGGGACAAAGCAGTGCATGGGAGGAAGCGTCATTGAGCAGGAAGGGAGTTCTGACTGATAGGGCTTAACAAGCCAGACTGGCAGTCTTGAAGAGCTCAGCGGAAGACAGGAGAGGTTCAAGGGGAATAGCATAAGGCTTTATTAAAGGCTCACAGTTACCTAAAGATGCCTATTGGCATATCTGTGCCAATTAATTACATGCAGTTAATAATACAAGTATATTGCCAAATCCTAGATGTACCTTTGAGGGGCAGAAAATGGGAATTTAAAATGTATACACCTATTAAAGTGTTTTGATAACAATGCACAATACATATACAAGTGCATACACCACCTCTGTATGTTAATACACATGCAACAAGACAAAAAAAATGTGTTTAGAAAATGTGTCCAATTTCTGGCTATCATTGATGGAGGACTCCTAGCTATCACAATGGGATCCTACAGATGATACTAGCATCCTAAACCAGTTCCTGGTTTGGCAAGAGTATGCTGGGTTTTCTGTCGGTGCCTCTTAGCTATTATACTTCTAAATGACTGAATTTGATATGGTTCACTTCAGCAAGGAGGTTGTACAAGCTTCCCAGGCCAGGCTTTAAGATAGCACTGCTTCCTGAATGCAAAGGATAAAGGTGTGGGTGTGTGCACTGGGGCGGAATGTGGAGGGAACAAAACTGCTCTGTGCGTGGAGGGGGTGCGGGGATCAGCGCAGACAATGTCTGACGATAAACTGGTGTCAGACTAGATGACACGCAGGCAAAATGACAATTTAACAGCAACATTTTACCAAAACAGAGAATGATAATTAAGGTTTGCAAAGTGCTATTATAAATGTGAAGAGACACCATTATTCACAATTATTTGCAGGGTAGAGTAGTGAGGGATTTAATTAACATCTACTATAAGCTCCTATTTAAGCTGTAAGCTCCTCCGGACAGGAACATGACTGTCTTTTGTCTGCCTATAGAGCATCGTATGAAATAATAGGAAGATGTAAATGTTTACGCCAATGTGAGGAAACAGACTGAGAAAAATTAGGGAAATTTGACAGGAATCCAAAAGTCTCATTGACCCCAATGGGCTTTGAGTGGGCTCTAAATGCATTAGAAAAAACTTCTAGTGCTAGAGCTAGAATAAAAACACACATTTATAAGTTGTTGGTACCTATTGTACCAGAAGAGAAACCTGAACTTTATGGCATTGGCAGGTAAGCACGAGGAAAAACTTTTAAATTATTATTTTAAGATGTATTTGTAAGTGGCAGAGTGATTACATCTGTGCCTTTAAATAGAGGGAGGGGGAATTTCCCTGGAATGTAAGGCATGCTGGGAATGGAGAGAAAGCAGGAAAACAAGAAAGTGGCTAGAAAGCAAGACAAGAGGAATTATGCTTAGAGCTGCTAAATATAACAAAACTTCTATAACGCTGTGGATAGATTTTGATTTATATCTGCATTTATAAAGCATTTGTTGCAGCAAAAACATTGGAGACTGGGCAGTGGAGATCCAGACACTGCTGCTGTGGGCTAGGACAGTCAAACCAACAGAAAACAAAGCTTTGTTTGCTTTACATAACGTAGGTACCTACCTCTTATATAGTGCTTTGCATCAATACAGCTCAAATCAGTTTCGAAAAGAAGTATCATTACCCCCATTTTACAAATGGAGAAGCTGAGGCAGAATGGTGAAGTGCTGTGTCCAAGGTCACCCAGCAAGGTCAGTGGTAGAGCCAGGAATGGAACCCAGGTCTTCTAAGTCTCCATCCAGTGCTCTATCCACTAGGAAACGTTGCCTCCCCTACACAGAGCTGTTTTATTTAAGCTGTGCTAAACTAGGATTGCCACTGGCACTTAACTTATAATGTGAGTGGACCAAGAGTAGAGACAAAATTTTATATTACGTATATTCTGTTACTTACCAATATTGACAACTTTTTAAAAAGACTTCCAGTTCACCCTTTTAAAAACATTGCTATTCTAGGCAAATATTTTGTTTATTAAAATGGACCAAGTTATAACTGAGGGCTAAAAAGTTTAGATTCCTCAAGCTCATTTGATTCATTTCAATGCACAATCCTTGGTCATCCAAGGTCAAATTTAACAGGTGATGGTATTGTTCCATCGGGCATGGAATAAAAATGGCCTTAGAAAGGAACTCTGGAGACTGAGGAAAAAAGTGAGGCAGCTCTTCATTTTGAGTCACAGTCCTCTCCTGTTCCACTTCCACTGCCCCAAAAAAATAAATTCTACATACAGCCAGCATTTCAGAGTCAACAAAACCACCCAAGTGTTCATAGATATTCAATATTTTTAGGTCAGAAGAGACCATTATGATCATCTAGTCTGACCTCCTGCACAAAGCAGGCTACAGAATTTCACCTACCACTCCTCTCACCTATGTCTGAGCTACTGAAGTCCTCAAATCATGGTTTAAAGACTTCAAGGAGCAGAGAATCCTCCAGCAACTGACCCGTGCCCCATGCTACAGAGGAAGGCAAAAAACCTCCAGGGCCTCTTCCAATCTGCCCTGGAGGAAAATTCCTTCCCGACCCCAAATATAGTGATCAGCTAAACCCTGAGCATATGCAAGATTCATCAGCCAGATACTACAGAAAATTCTTTCCTGGGTAACTCAGATCCCACCCCATCTAATATCCCATCACAGGCCATTGGGCCTATTTACCATGAATATTTAATTACCAAAACCATGTTATCCCATCATACCATCTCCTCCATAAACTTATCGAGTTAATCTTAAAGCCAGATAGATCTTTTGCCCCCACTGCTTCCCTTGGAAGGCTATTCCAAAACTTCACTCCTCTGACGGTTGGAACCCATTAGATAAAGTGTCTGATAAAATCACAGGAGGCCACACTCAAGGAAAGTGCCTGCTTTTCAATTTGACAAAAGTTATTCTTCACCAGAATCTACCAGCAAGGGACAACATGCCTAACTTCAAAAGAGGTGCAGGTCAATATCAAATTTATAGCAAGCCTATGAACTAATGAAGTGTGCTAACAAGAGTTAAAAACCCATATGTACCTTCATCACTGATATCATTACACTGTCTGAAATTACAACTGAAAGTACCAGACTGGTAGGAAAATGCTACCTATAACATATTCACGAACAAGCTGCTTCTGAAGTCAGAAACATGGATCCTACACAAGCAGCATTTTCTCTGAGCTGAGCCTGCAGTATGTCCCAATGATTGCAAATGTTTACTAAGGCTACAGACAGCACTGATTTGTTTGTTTTATCTGTTCTGCAGAGATCAGCATGGCCACGTAAACCAAGTGAAAAATTAATCCACATAAAACAGCACTTCTGGCAACGTAAAGCATGGAGGCGTCCAATGTACAGAGCCCGCTGTGCTCAAAGGTTCACATAAAGAATTGTACCCACTATGCTATACGGTACCATACAGCAAACTTTCAGTAAGTAGTGCTTTTTGAGTAGAGGATTACCATAATAAAGTCCACTCCCTGCAGGAGAGCCTAATCTTGCTAGGTCACTGATCAGACATTTAACTCTAGGTTAAATATCTTCACTATCAATGAGTTTATAGGAATGAGCTGCACCTGCCAGCACCAAATCAAGCCTGAGGGTAAAAGAGGGGCTTAAAAGCTTTGTTTTCTAGAGTTGCCAACTAATTTATCAAAATCATTTCAGTGGTTCTGTCCTTTCAACAGATACAAAGTTTGTCTGGCTCAAGTTATTTGCTAGAGCAATACCTTTACTCTCCTGTCAGACTAATCCACTCCTTGGATTAAGTTCTTGCCAGTGTTAAAGGAAACAAAGGAATTCCCTCCATCTCTCTGGGGTGTAGCATGTTTTTAACTTTGGGTGAAAATGTAATTTAAAAGTGCTGTTAGATGGAAGGTGATCTGAAAACACACAGTTTAAAAGATCCTATACCAGTTTTTTTTTTTTTTTTTTAAGGTCTTAGAGCAATCAACATTTTG